AAAAAAAATGGTAAAATGCTTCGCGTTTCAATTCGTCATGACGCCCACGAGATGTCCTCGACGAGATGCAACGAGATAGGGGGGGTCGGTGTTCCCCCGTCATAATGCTGTCGTCGGCTGCCACATCACCGCGTTGAATCTTGTTGATGGTCCATACCGACTACTCTAAGAAACAACCAAATTCCATTCACAAGCGGTGGTGATTTAAATCTATTTATATAAACAAGAATTTATTTGTCAATAATCATATTTAGATGAAAATAAAACGAGTATATATAAATGGTTAAACGGGTAGAGAGTAGAGATGCTCATCGCACAAGACCGGGCTTCGTATTGATCTTGATCCGGTTATAACTAGTCCTAGGCCTTCGGCCCATGTGCCTAAAATAATCCTATCAAAACTAACCGTATTGAAATGCTTACCAATCCGGACCAGTTTAAAATTGGTCCCAGGTCCCCTTATACCTTTTTTTTTTTTTTTTTTTTTTTTTTTTTTTTTTTTTTTTTTTTAAATCTAAAATTACTAAATGTACATTTTGTTAGCATTTTCTTAACTACAGTCAAACTATCAATTAGATATTTATAAAAAAAAAATTTATTAAACCTATTTTTTAAACGAATATGAATAACTGATCTTTAAACTAGATTCCTTCAAAATACACAAAATCAAAGTATTAACCAATTGTATTGGGAAGGACCGATCCTCGTCAGATTCGACCTTATTTGGATCAGTGTGAGCTAGATTTTGGGTCCAGAATGTATATATGATCATGTGTACCTTTAGTAGAAAGCAATTCAAATAACGATTATATTTTCATTGTTTTAATTTGAATTTTTTTAAAATGAGTATTTCCATTTTGAGCTGCTCCACCAAAGATGGAAAAGCATGAGCGGATCTTTTCAAGGGCTGGGGGGGGGGGGGGGGGGGTGGGGGGTTGTGGCCCCCCCTGATTTTTTTGGTATTAATAGTTCCTATGCTTTAACTTTATACATATTTAGTCCAAAAATATAAAATTTTGACTACGGCCCCCTTGTTCACCAATTTTTATATAAATTGTGTTTTCGGCCCCCCAAATGAAATATTGAAGCTCCGCCACTGTGGAAAAGAGGGGGACATCATGCATTGAAGCAATTTTACCAATTTATGTTAATCTCTGATTGAAACCCTTAAGATTGTAACTCAGGTCACATTACATTTACCGTGCATTATCCAATGAACCTTCGGGTGATTGTTCGGTTTTTTAAGTAATAAAATTACATTTTTATTTCAATAATATATTTTGTGTATGTATCTCATAACAAATACATAGTTATAAATGTAAGAAAAAGTTGTATATTAACAGTTATTGTAGTTAAAAGTTTAAGGCACAAACATAGTTTGATATATTATCCAATTTATAGCTTAGTCGACGGTAGGCTATATCACCTAACTGTATTACCATGTTCATGAATGATCTTCCAACTAATGTCGGTATTTCATTTTCATATTCTTGTGAAAGATAAGATCTGGTAAATCTAGAAAAACGTGCCTTCGTAAAATTAAAATTTTGTTAGTTATATGACATTTTCTAAGAAAAACATCATGCTTTGAGATCCAAAATGTGCCATAATTGTTTGGTGTAAATAGTGGTGTCATATTGCACTATGTTTGGTGGTGTCACACATTTTCCACCATAGTGGACGCAATCGCATATGCTCAACATAAGAATTTATTTGGCTTTAAATGGATTGGTTTTGGACCATTTCATCACCTATTACACCCCCTTTCTAGCTCCAATTTAGAAATTTCTTTTTTTCAAAAAAACAAAATTAAAGTTTTTTTTTTTGGAACGGCTGAATTTTCTAAACAAGTAAAAAGATCTCAACAAAAAGTTAAAGACAAAACGAAACAATTACATTATAACTAGGTGAGTGTTTATATGTGTAGAATACAATAATATATTTAAAATCTTTATAAATGTATATATATTTTTAAATATATCAATGACGTTGTTAATTTTTATATAATAAATCTTATAATAAGTTGGTATAAAAAATTATTTATTTTGAATTATATAATAATGTAGACATCTTTTATACTTTTATAATCTCAATTGATTCAATAGCATCGATCTCTGAGTTACTCATAAATTAAATTAAATATAATATATGATTTAATGATATTTTTTGTTGTTATGATTAATTAATTTAAAATTTTTATTTGCTTAAGATTTTTTAATTTATATATTTATAATTATTTAAAACATCAAACATTATTTGTGTTTTTAAATGTAACAGTATAATTTTTGTATATAATATTATTTTTAATTATCGTTATTGTAAATTATATAAAATAATGTATTTGAAAAACTCTTAATTTTTTTAATTTGGTTTCAAAAATTTAATTCTTTTTGAATTTATTTGATAAATATTTTAGTTTCTTTGATTGTAATTATTTAAAACATGAAACATTATTTTTTTTTTAAAGATAACATTATTATTTTTTATATAATATTACTTTTAACTATTCTTATTATAAGTTATTTTTAAGCTAGTTATTTAAAAATTCTTAATGGTTAGAAAAATAGTTTCATGATTTATTAATTTAGGATTACAACTTATGTTTAACACTATAATTTATAAATTTTAACTATTCATAAAATAGTCTCTCGATTTTTTAACTGAAATTTTAATTTAAGCTAACTGTTTAACATTATATAAAAATTAATAATTTAACTATTTTGTATAAAGTAATAAATTATATAAAAGTTATGACTTTAAAATGACAACTGCTCGCATATGACAACATATATCTAAACTAATAAGTTGACTATAATATGTTAAAAAGTTAAAGTCATAATTTTATAAATAGAAGTAAAATATGATATTTTAATATTGTAGTTTAGTTCATTTATTATTAGAATTTAGTTTTTTCATTAATTGAACATTATTAACTAATTTATAATAATATTAGAAAGAAATTGAAAAGTCATAGAGAATTTAAATGCATGTGGCGCAAATAAAAATTCCTATTTTACAAGTAGATAGATAGATAGATAGATAGATATAGATATAGATATAGATATAGTTATAGATAAAGATATGTTTAAAATGGGATTTTTTTAAGCTATAAATTTCACTTAATAGAGAATTTATGCTTCCGATGCACCACCCAAATAAAATAAAAACCAACAATATCATCAAATGATCTATCTTGTCTAGTTATTTTTTTTTTTTTGGAAAGAGAATTTCCCTAACGAGGGTTTCTAAGCCTGCTTTCGCGCACCAACAAATCCACTGCTGCAAACATGAGGCTTTGCCTCATGCCCTAGAGTCATTGTAGACGAACCTCCATGACAACAAGGGTTGAGTAGTGTGAGGATTTGAACATGTGTCAATAGGTTATCCACAGTATCTTCCACTTGTCTTACCAAGTCACCACAACCCAAGTGGTTTGTCTAGTTCTTGATTGATAAAACACATACTGAATTCTGAAGAGAGTTAATCCATCACCTTTATTTCCTACTAATTATTGAAAATAATTCAGTCATCCTAGGTATACCCATCAGGATGTTATCAACCATTACTTTGTGATAGGGGATATTGTACTAGTCGTGTCTTAGTCCCACTAAAGTGATTTATCTAGTCCATGTTCACAAATAAAAAAAATGCAAATGTCACCTTACTCCTCGCCCTTTCTTAACAATAGTTATCAAACTTATCCAAAATTTTATAATATAATGGTTTAAAAGCTCACAACTTATCCTGTTAATAGAATATATAATTAATGTAGTTAATTCTTTATTTTCCTTCATAAACTTGTATTTGTTTGATATTAATATGATTCACACATTCTTTTTGCCATATTGGAATAAATTTCTTAAATATATTTTTTATTTTCAAACCATAAACTATGGTTTGATATTTTCTTATCAAACTATCATTCACCAAACAAGGATACAAACTCATTAAATCAATCACATTAACATTTTTAAATTTTTAAAAACTATAATACTCAATACATTGGTTATAAGTCAAGTATCTTGACCCAGTTTTATAAAAAAAACGTCATTTAATGCATCAATCATTTTATTTTTATGTAATAACATGTTAATACTACTTAATCATTCACTGTCAATCATATATTGTTATAGTGATGCTCAATTATCAAAAGTCAACTACATGCTCATAGCTAATTCTATTAAGCATAACAATTAATTGGAAGATTGAGTGTAGGGTTCAAAGTACTTCATGGATTATAGCAATGGACCCCCTTGATGAAGTGTAAGTTAAAAATCCAAGACTTGTCTTTTCCCTATAAATAGTCCTGTATTATTCATAATTAGGGTTAAGAGTGATGCAAAATGTAGTCGCCAAACACTGTGAGGTTTCTTATGTAGAGTTAGATTATTTAGTCTATTCTGAAAGTGATGGAGACACAGAATTTATCAATCATAATGTTCGTAAAATATTTAAAGAAAATGACATTTTTCATCAAGTCTCTTGCCCTTACACTCCTCAACAAAACGGACGTGCAGAATGGAAGCATAGGCACATTGTTGAAACATGATTAGTTATGCTTTTCCACTCTCATGTTCCTGCCTCATATTGGGTCGACGCCTTCATCTCAGCCACCTACATTATTAATCGATTACCCACCAAGGTGCTTGATGATTATTCTCCTTTTGAGTTTCTTTATTCACGAATACCTTAATATAGCAATTTATGTATGTTTGGATGTCGGGTTTATCCCTATCTATGCGACTACTCTACTCATAAGCTTTCCCCAAGAAGTATCCCTTGTATCTTCATTGAGTATAGTGCCCAATACAAGGGATATAAGTGTCTTGATCCCAGCACCTCTCGGATATATATTACAAGGTAGGCCAGATTTAATGAACTTTCTTTTCCTTTTTCTGGTTCCTCTGATCAACAATCGCTTGATAACTTGGAGTTGTACTCTTTTCTTGATGATGGGCCACCTACCCAGCACGCAAATTCCTCAAGTCAACCCACTATGCCTAAGCCCAATCATCCACTTCCCCATGTAATTTGTGTAATCCTGACCCAATATCATTTGAACCATCATCTTCGACTTCTGTTGTTGTTCCTGCTAACCCGGTACAATCTAAACCATCATCTCCTAACCCTGTATCATCACCTGAACCAGTGACTCCTACACCTTCTCAATCGATGGTTATCGATTCTCCCATAGTTGAACCCAATTCATCTCACCCCATGGTAACTCGGTCAAAGGTAGGAATATTCAAGAAAAAACACTTTGTTGATCTTGCATCTCTCACATCTCATGCCTTACATGTCTCACTTTTTTCATCCACTGAACCTAAGGGTTTTAAAACTGTTGCTAAAAGCCCATAATGGATGCTTGCAATGCAAGAGGAAATGGTGGCATTATAACACAATAATACCTAGACCCTTGTTCTACGTCCATCTTCCTCAAACGTTGTTGGCTTAAAATGGGTTTATCGGATGAAATCTAATTCTCATGGGTCAGTAGAATGATTTAAAGCACGCCTAGTAGCTCAAGGCTACACACAAATTCCAGGTCTTGATTATTCTCATACTTTTAGTCCTGTTGTGAAGGCCTCAACGGTTCGTATCGTTCTTTCTCTCGCAGTCTTACACAATTGGCATTTACATCAACTTGATGTTAAAAACAGTTTTCTTCATGGCACGCTCAACGAGACTGTTTTTATCGAACAACCTCCAGGATTTGTTGATCCAAATTTTCCTAATCACGTTTGCAAACTTTATAAGCTTTGTACGGGCTTAAACAAGCTCCTAGAGCTTGGTTTCAGCGCCTCAACATTTTTCTTCTTGCCAATGGGTTTCACTACAGCCGTTTAAATACCTCTCTATTTGTTTTTGCTCAAGATTCTAATATTATGTAGTTATTGGTATATGTTGACGATTTGATTCTCACTGGTAATCACGAATCTCTTATCACATCTTTTACTAGCAAACTAAATAGTGAATTTGCTATAAAAGACTTGGGTGACTTAAATTACTTTCTTGGTTTGGAAGTTTCTTATACCACTGATGGTGTTAAAAGTATGTATTTATGAGCAAAAAAAACATTAAAAAAGAACTTCTTTACTTGGGTCAAAATTGTAGGTTTGAAGAAAGGACATAAAGAGAGTTTTAAAGGTTTTTTAGTTTTGGGTGTGTTGTGTATTATTTTAATAGTGCAAGTATTGGGGCTCATTTATCAGGAACTTGGAAAGCACGCAGATCTTTTGATAAAGGATTTAGGTCGGTTATATTACGGGTTTGGTTTATGGGTTGAACCAGAAGTATATATATAATATATATATATATATATATATATATATATATATATATATATATATATATATATATATATGGTTTTAGTGTAATAGAGATCAGATCATCTTTTCCGTCAACACACACTTACTTAAGTCTCTCCATTCTCTCATCTCCGTCTTCTTCAGGTTAGGGTTTTGGTTAAGTCTAGAGTTCTTTGTTCTAGTTAGTATTTGTTTAATAAACTTTGTAATATGTTCTTGATTTCTATTTTGTTTGAGTGTGAGTGTTATGTAGAGAGGTTTGATTTGTAAGTTCACTACTAGAAAAATAGCCTTTTACGACGCGCAATCAATGACACACGCTGATAGAAGACACGCATTTGAGCGTGCCCTAAAAATTGATGCCAGTTTTCCAAAATATGAATAATAGAGGGCACGCATTTTTGAGTGCCCTAAAATTAGTGTCTAATAAAAAATAAAAAAAAATACTGAGGGTACCTTATATAAAATGTGCGTCATCTAACCATGTCGCTTTATAAATTTTAATGAAACGCGCGTTTCATCCGAGGGGGAAATGAAATCCAAAAATTAAAAAGCCCGCTTTATTTCGACCGTCTGAAAACCCTAGCTCATCCCCACCGAAAACCCCCTTTCTTTCTTTCTTCTCTCTCGATTCTCAAACCTCCATTCACCTTCCATCATCAGCTGCTTCTTCGACCCTTCTGAGTGTCTCCCACCGCCGTCGATTTCCAATGAAAGACGACCGTTCTTCCCCATCACCATCTATCTTCCAAATTACTAGACTAACCTCACCATCTTTTTTCTTTACAGTTCAGAGCCAAAACCCTCTCACCACCACCACTGTATACGAAGCCTCTAGAAACGCAACCCCTACTCCATTATCGTCTACTTCTTCCCAACGCCCATTCATTGGTTAAGTCCTAAATACATTCCACCGCTTACTACTTCGTGTTCTACCTCAATCAAATTGAGAGCCGCCGGTGTTGTAGAAAGAGAATCCTCCACCGCCGGTGTCATAAAACTCAGAGCCGCCGATGTTGTAGAAAGAGAATTCACCACCGCCAGGTCGCCACCTCTAAAAGCTTCTGGTTTGTCTTCATCGCCAATTTGGAATCGTGTTCTTAGGTCACTCGAAAAGCACTCATGGTCGGTGAAATAAAAATGCGAAATCATGTTCTTAGGTCACTGGAAAAGCACTCATGGTCGATGAAATCATCAATTACGTTCTATCACTACAAGGTCAACTAGAGGTAAGTCGATAATTTCAAATTCTTGTAAATAAATCCACCGATTACAGTGGTTTTGATTTATGATACGAGTAACATGAGTATGTTTACTGTTAATTTCTTTGCGCACAACAACTTTAAATAATATGAACTGCGATTTTGAAGCTGCTGAACTCATACGACATTTTATTTTCTTGCATAGAAACAGTTGTAACAGAAGTTGGATGTCAAGATTACTTTTTTTTTCTTTCTCTCATGCTTATTTTCTTACTTGTTGTGGATTACAGAAAAGCCATTAATGTACGGATATCATATAGTTGTGGATGTTGGGAATGGAGCTGGTGGTTTTTTTTTTGCTGTAAGTTATCTTTTAGCATGTGTAGAATTATAGAGGATTTTAGGATGACTCTAAGGTGGCGGAAGTGCTGGTTGATGGTAAATTAGTTGGTCGGATGAGTGGTTGGAGAGATTTCCTAATCTGTCCATGATTGAGACAAGTTATGCTGGACAGATCTGAATGGTATTGGTCGAAGGTTTTCTACAAAGCAAGTTTAGAATGATCTTTAATATGGGCCTGAGATAAAAGTTAATTGGTATGAGATAGTGTGGTTTAAAGAGAATATTCCCAGAAATGCTTTTATTTTATGGATGGCTATTCTGGGTAAATTGAAAACACAAAATCGGGTCAAGAGCTAGGAAATAAGGGGAACTCATGAGTGTTCTTTCTATAGTAAGGATATGGATTCACATAATCATCTTTTCTTTATGTGTGAAGTTCTTTTATTTCTTTGGCACAAAATAAAAAAGAAGGCAGAGATAGGTGATTGCCCTGATAACTGGACTGGAATCATTCAGTGGTTCAGTCATAAGGTATGTAAGGAGTAGGGTGTGGTGAAATTAAAAAACTGGATTGATAATGGGAGTAGGAACCAGGATTTTAATGATGGCTTTGATCATTAGTTTTAAGTGTGAATGTGTTGTTAAGTTTATTGGTAGGGGGACTATTTGGAAAGGAGCCAATAGGAGTATTGAGGGCAGTTGGATGTGGTTGCTTTTGTTGACTATTAGCAGAAGGAAGGGTATAAAAGGAATTAACGGATTGATCCTTATTAATGGGATTTGTTTCTCCTTAATAAGTAATGGTACCAGTTGGGATAGATGGATAGATATGATCTCTTTTGAGATTATCTTGAAGCTCTATCTCGGACTTGTGATTGATGCCATGTCCAGGTTATTACTTGAAGGAATTGACGGTTTTAACTTTGATTGGGTTCTTCCTATTAGTATTTTTGTGTTGTTATGCAGATGGAGTTTGATGATGCTATTCAAACAGGGGAGAAAAAGGAGTTTAGGTGAGAACAGGGATGGTAGTTTTGGCAGGTGGCGGTTGAGTAGATCAAGTTTTCGGATTGCTTATTTTTTTGGAGTGGATGATTAGTTTTTTTTTTCTTTTTGGATTGTTTAGTTCTTATTGCTCCTTGGATAATGGGTTTTTTGACAGTTCTTTCCCCAAGCAGTTGGGCTTTTGTTGATTGTGGGAAGAAGTTTTGTGTTGGGGAACAGATACCTTTTTACCCATTCCTAATAATTTCGTGGAGCTTAGGTGTTGTTGATTATTTTCTTAAGACTTCTTTTTATGGTCTAGATAGTGTTGTTTGGTATAATTTGTGGGAGTATAGGGTTAATAGGAAGTGGTTGAAAAGTTGGATTTGGATTGGTTGGAAACATATTAGATTGTGGTGTTTTTAAAGAACACTTAAAATCAAAATTATATTTTCTTATCTATTCTTAATATGATTTAATCTTTTATATTATTTTTTATAGGTTGAATAGGCTTTTAGAGAAGGGACTGCACGTCAAAATGCACATAACATGTTTGTATCTCTTGCACTTAAATTGTAAGAAGAACATCTAATGGTGGCATGCAAAGACATCATTACTTTGGAAAAACAGGTAATATAATATATAATAATAAATAATAAGAAATATCATTTGGTTATTATTTTTAATTTCGATATAACCAATGGTGGCATACAAAGACATCATAACATACACAAGAGCAAAAAAAACATTTACTTGTTACTTTTTTTATGTGTGTGTGCATGAATCTGTTTGACTTATGAGTTATGAGTGGTTATGTAATAAAAAGAAACGAAGTCGTGTTGTTGATCAGGTTCAAGCTGTTCTTTTACTAATGGGTGGGCGTGAAACATCTTCAAGTATGCCTTACATGTCATTAACCCATTATCAGCAGAGTAACCGGGTATATAACTAATATGTATGAGTCAATGATACAGTTTTACCTTTTATTTTATTGGGCAGAGTGGATGAGACATTTCATCATGTGCTAGGCTGGCACAGTTACAGGTGTCATTTTTAAAATTTCATATCTTTTTTAATTTCTTGTAACTTTGTGTGACCAATAGCATCAAGGAGTTTCAAGGAATGAATGTTCATTCCCCATTCAGCCTCTAAAATTCCTAAAATACCCCTATTAGTTTATAATAACAAGTTTTTCTCCAAACAATACACATACAGGGTGCTTTGCTGGACTTAGTTTTCTCTCCTGGTTGATAACATCAAGGAGTTTCTCAATGTTTTTTCATGTACCGACTTTGCTAGTTTCAGGTACTTGATTTAATCACAAAACTAGTTTTCAAAGTTGATCAGTTAAAAATGTAACACTGTTATTGATTAGGTCTTTCTAATGCATTCATTCATGTATTCTCTTTGATGGAATGAATAGTATTGGTCTACCACATAAGGAATCAGCAATAGCATGCTGTGATGAAGTTGACTCCCTTGCTAAGGTAAGAAACCAAGAACCAATAAGTAATTCATGTTTATTGATGAACAGAGAGACAGGTTTTAAATGGGGATGTAGCAAATGTGTCCCCAATTAAACTCATAAATACGAAAAAAAAGAATTCATGTCCTTCCAAATCTATACTATAAATAAATGTATATCAAACGTTCAAAAAAACTTAAATACCATATAACTTAGGTAGTTGAGAAATTTGTTAAAAGTAATAAATCGGTTTGTTTATCTGATGTGATGGAAGCAGTGTTATGGTGCATGGTATGGATCAGTCCCTGGTTTAATTCAATATATTTTATATGTAATAATTCACTCCATTACAGAGTGTGATTTGATTTGTTGCAGGAATCGTGTGATGCGATTTTAGCATTTGAGTATTATTATTTACACAGTTCAGGTATTGCCTTATCATTTACATGCATGTTTTCTATTTAAAAGCAATGTCTAATTAATCCATTCATTCCATTAAGTGTCGTATTTAGGTCTTGGACCATGTCATAATTTATTAATTTATTGTCACATAATATATTAAAAACACAAAAATATCATATTGTAATTTTCTTTACACTCTGTTGCTTAGAGACTCTACATTCCAACCCATTATTAGATATCATTTACCAATTTAATGTAACCCATTTATGACCAACTTTAGTCATTCACCAACAATTTTCATTACTTGTCATGTATTAACAGTTGTTAGGCATGAACACTCAATGCATTAATCCTGAAGGCCTTGCACATTTTCAGGCTAGGTTTTTCTACTAATTTTCAGGTTCACTGCTTTTTTTTTTTAAAACTTATTTATCATATTGGGTAAGTAGAAGAGAATCTGTAAATATATTATTCAATTTATGCATATTAGAGTATTAGTATAGCAGTCTTTTTGTTGATTTGGGAAGTCCGCCATACTATATCTATTATTCATACAAGTTATTAATCTTTTATGCAGATTTTGAGAGACTTGAAGCATGCTTTTTTGGCGTTTTCAAGTTGACCAAAGTAAAAACCCATTTCGAAGATTAGCAGAGGCTGCTAACTGCTCTGATAGATCTGCATATATTGAAAAAAGGTCCCTTTTAAATCCTGTTACTCTTTCTCTTAGATAATAGATGGACAAAAATTTCATCATGAATCCTGAACTGTATTTTTATATTTATTTATTTATTTTGGGTGTATATATAATTTACAGAGGATTGGAGGTGTCTAAAAAGCTGAAAACTCGTACATGCTTCTTGTTTTAAAATTTTATACAAGTATGGGATGTATTGAAGCCTGAATGAAAGTGGAAATCCCTCAAGATACAGAGCTTGTGGAGCCGTTAGATGAAGCTTGGATATGGTGCCAAACAAGAGGCACCGCCACTGAAACTTTAGGATCCGAGAACAAAGCTGAATCCATAGAGAAGGTTCAATTACAATTCACAAATCATCCCTTCTGTTTTCTTAAATATTATCACATCTGTGAAACTTAACAGTAGTTTTTGGTCTTCCTCTTGGTGATCCATCAATGAAATGGCCAACTTGCATCATGTAATAACATATTAGGCGAAGATGTAGGTATATGTTTTTTTATGAATAATGTAATCATATGTATGAATATGAAATAAAGTTTGTTATTTAGTATGTGATAATCATGTATAGGGAGAAAACTTCTATTGATTTGTTTTATCTTTCCATGGATTGATTATTTGTATGACATTAAATTTTATGCAATGGATTGAATTTTTTGTATATGGTATTTTATTTTTTTGTTATGAGACATTAAATGCAAATTTAATTTGAAAATTAATAAATCTATAAATAATATGTTTTTTAAACATTTAAAATTACGATACGCAAAAATGTGTGTCATCTTCATTTATGACATGCCCTTTCTTGACAAGAGCTTCCTTGATACGCATTGGGTGTCATAAACACGCGCGTCGTAAGGTTACGACACGCAAATGCGTGTCCTCTATCTTTATGATAGGGTCTTCCTTGATACGCATTGTGCGTCACAACCGCACGTCGTAAATGCGTGTCGTGAATGCGCGTCGTCTCTCGTTATGACATGGCCTTCCTTGACGCGCATTTGCGTGTTGTTTGAGCGTTTTACGACGCGCAATGAGCGTCGTAAAAGGCCTTTTTTCT